TGATTGTAACAACCCTCATACTGTTTACTGATTAATGACTGATTGATTACCGATAATTACCGATTACTGCTAAACGGAACTGATAACTGACTGATAATTGAACTAAGTAAAGTACTGAACTGACTGATTGAAATTGGAATCTGAATTAATTGAGTATATGTGGGGGTGGCCCTCTCCTTCTTGGGACCTCAAGGCACCATCCTTACCACTAAAATCCCTCACGATTTCAATGGTGAGGAGGCCCAAACACCGAAGTCCCGGAGCTCACACAAAATAGCACAAAACAAGGGCCAAACAGGGCTTAAGAAGGGTCAAACAACCCCAAAGCTTAAAACACTCTTAACAAACTATTTAGAGGCCTTAAAAATATAACTTTTATGTATTATATGTAAAGCCAAAAAACAGTTGCAAGATAGGTAAAAGTAGTGTGCAAAAATGGGGTAAAAAGGGACTAGTTTCTTACCCTTGAAGTCCTCCTTCGTAAATGATGATCTTGTTGCCTCCTTGAGCTCAAATCCAGTCAAGAACACCAAGAACAACCCTCTGGTCCCTCAACAACCAAGAGAAGGTGTAACACTATGTATTTGTGTGCAATAATATGGACAAACACACACTAGACACACACAAGAGAGAGATATAGAGATAGGAAATATGTATCAACCCTAACCCTAATCCAGAACTCTCTCTGAAATTTTTGTAACCCTAATGCCAAGAGAGGAAGCCTCTTCTTATAGGCAACTTCCTTTTGTAAGGCTTCCAAAACAAGCCATCCAAGACAAAAATCCCTCCATACACGTGTATGGAGGGGAACAGAGTGGGTGCCAGCTATCCAACAACCAAGAGAAGGTGTAACACTATGTGTTTGTGTGCAATAGTATGGACAAACACACACTAGACACACACAAGAGAGAGATATAGAGATAGGAAATATGTATCAACCCTAACCCTAATCCAGAACTCTCTCTGAAATTTTTGTAACCCTAATGCCAAGAGAGGAAGCCTCTTCTTATAGGCAACTTCCTTTTGTAAGGCTTCCAAAACAAGCCATCCAAGACAAAAATCCCTCCATACACGTGTATGGAGGGGAACAGAGTGGGTGCCAGCTATCACAGCTGGCACAAAAAATCTACTAAAAGTAGATGAACAGTGATCGGCCATTCAAAATTGCCATTTTGGCAAAATAAATGGCCGACCGGCAACAAAGAGTGCCGACCGGCAATATACATTGCCGATGGCATAAAATCACTGGCCGGTGGCCTCAAGCCATGGCCGGTGATGTGTGGGGATGCCTCACAAGGCATTCCCTGCCCCTCCAAGGCAAAACACAAGTGTTTGGTGCAAAACCAGACACAACACGATCGAGTCGAGAGATCCTGAGGCAAGGCGCGCAACCGAGACCTCCGGGAACTCAAGACAAACACAAACAAGGGTAATCACCAAGTGTTCCAATGGTGACGTCCAAGTCTTGAGGACGGTAAAAAATGGGGTGTCTACACATACTGTTCAATAAATTGCTTTAAAGTTGTCTTTGAGTTCACATATCCATCAAAAAATGTGTTCATACTCTCACTTCGTTGTGTAGTCGACATGCCAGCCCAAAAAACATCCTTCACATAAGCAGGAATCCACCTATGTTGCTCACTGTATAATGCCCCAACCACTCATTATCATCTAACTTGAACTTTGCAATAATCGCTTGCCATTCTTCATCAAATTCATCTTTTGTAAAACAATCATAAACTACATTTTGCAAAGCAAACTTGATGGATTCATATTGGGTATATCCTCTTAATTTTTCCGGAATTTTCTTCATTATATGCCATAAGCACTAACGATGTCGAGCTTGTGGAAAGACAACTTCAATGGCATTTTGCATAGCTCTGCACTGGTCTGTTATTATAGCTTTTAGAGGAACGTCAGACATGCAACTTAACCATTCTCTGAATAGCCACACAAATGTTTCAGTGTTCTCATTCGATAACAGCTCACAACCAAGCAAAATTGACTGTCCATGGTGATTAACTCCTACAAACGGAGCAAATGGCATATCATATTTATTTGTGAGAATCATAAACTACATTTTGCAAAGCAAACTTGATGGATTCATATTGGGTATATCCTCTTAATTTTTCCGGAATTTTCTTCATTATATGCCATAAGCACTAACGATGTCGAGCTTGTGGAAAGGCAACTTCAATGGCATTTTGCATAGCTCTGCACTGGTCTGTTATTATAGCTTTTGGAGGAACGTCAGACATGCAACTTAACCATTCTCTGAATAGCCACACAAATGTTTCAGTGTTCTCATTTGATAACAGCTCACAACCAAGCAAAATTGACTGTCCATGGTGATTAACTCCTACAAACGGAGCAAATGGCATATCATATTTATTTGTGAGATAAGTTGTGTCAAATGAAACCACATCCCTATATGCTTTATAAGCTGCCCTACTCCTTGCATCCGCCCAAAACAAGTTTCGCATGCGACCATCTTCATCGAGGTCAATTGTAGAATAGAAGTTCGAATTTTGTTGTTGCATCCTATGAAATAAAGTGCAATTGATTCAACATCTCCTACCCCAAGCCTCAATCTTCTCATACTCTGAATATAATTCCTTGCATCTCGTTCATCAAATGTTAATGCCTCATACCCTCCTCCTTCAACAACTATAGAATGAAAATTCCTTGCCACTCCTATCCCTACTTCATCGTTTATTTCTAGTCTTCTCTTCACAGGGGTAAGAATTCTCTTATTCATTGCAAAATGTCGTGAGTCACTAGGAATCAAGTCATGCGTATGTTCAAGCACAACTGTGGTCAACTTAAATCTTTCATCCTTTTGTAGAGTTGCTCTAACCTGTGCTTTACATTCAATGAATGATGACAAAGATGGTTCGAGAGGGTGTACTTCTGATCGTTTTGTTCTCTTGCGTGCCCGAGTACATTCAATTCCAAAGTATTTTACTTTCCCATCTTGTCCAATAATTTGTGTTCTATAAGTTACAGTAAATCCGAGGTGCTTCGCATATTTTGCATAAAATGAATATACTTCTTGCTTTGAGCTAAAACACATGCCCTTCTTAGGTTCTTCAACTTCACCAATCTCATTTAATGACGGATTGTTTTCCGTTTCTTCAACTTTCTCACTCCCATTCAATGAAGGATTGTTTGAATCAATGTCTATTGAAGCGTGTAGTTCGTGTAGCTTCAAACCAAATAGAAAATAAAGTGTAAGTGCATTTCAATTTTTCTAAGGTTCTTCAACTTAACCAGTAACCACATAGATTTTCATATTGGATAGGGATATTTCATTTCAAGGTTAATTAATATCATTTGTTTTAATGTCCATGAAAGTTCTATGTCTTATCAAACAACATTGAAATGGTTTACAATGATTTTCAAGTTTTCAAATAGTAATGTAGAGCAATGGATGAGAACACTGAGATTAATTCAACACATTGATCTCAGTAATGAGTTAATTTTTACACTGAGTTGATCTCAGTTAACTAATGAGAACACTGATCTTAGTAATGAGTTCATTCTTACATTGAGATTAGTTAACTAATGAGAACACTGTACAAACACTTAAATTCAAACACTGAGATTATTTGAATTAACTAATGTACAATAATGAGATTAGTTAATTCAAACACTGAGATTAGTGTCTGAATTCAAACAGTAATTCAAACATTACTCTAAATGTCAAAATTAGTTAATTCAAACATAATTTAAGTGTTCTTGCTAAATCAAGAAAGATTAGCATCATGTCACTAAATTAGTATGACACATAATTTATTTACTTGTCTGTTTGAAAATAATTGGCATACATCAGGAATCTATGGGGATAATTTCATCAACCAAAACAATTGCCATGCATCAAGACTTTCATCAATCAAAACATAAAAAATCAGGACAATTTCTCTATGGGGACTTTCATCAAACAATTGGCATGCATCACTACAATGAAAATGTTTAACAGAGGGCTTGCTTCCAAAACAACCAAATTTTTTTTTTACAGACACAGATCAAATAAATTGCCTCTTACAAATGCATCTTAGAAAAAAAAAAACAAAAACAAAAACAAAAACCAATAACTTACCTACATGCACAGATAAAAAATGTTTAGGACATTCGGCATGGAGATTCCGAACAGTAGCGGACGGTGGTCAGCGACGCTCGTCGGTGAACACCAGGTCGGTGGTTGTCTCTCTCGTCGCCGTAAAGTCCTGTAGTCTGGTTCGAAACCCCAAATTTTTTTTTTACAGACACAGATCAAATAAATTGCCTCTTACAAATGCATCTTAGAAAAAAAAAAACAAAAACAAAAACAAAAACCAATAACTTACCTACATGCACAGATAAAAAATGTTTAGGACATTCGGCATGGAGATTCCGAACAGTAGTGGACGGTGCTCAGCGACGCTTGTCGGTGAACACCAGGTCGGTGGTTGTCTCTCTCGTCGCCGTAAAGTCCTGTAGTCTGGTTCGAAACCTCTCTCTCTCTCTCTCTCTCCCTTCTCTCCTCTCTTGTTTCTGTTTTTTGTTTCATTAGTTTGCTTTCCTGAACACATGAGCTCCACATGCATCAAATTTTCGGAGGAAAACCAATTTCGAGCCATTCGAGCCGTTGTATATTCGGGCCCTGTAGCAGCTCTATTTTTTCTTAAAGTATAATACTTATATAACAATCAAAAGTAAAAAAAATCATCTAGAGGTACGGGTGACACTTGGCCATGTGTTTGAGCCGCTCCTGATTGTGATAGAGAAAGAACTTGTGATAGGAAGACTAAGAGAGTTCGATAGATAATCTGATTCCATTGCACAGTTTGCATAGGAACAAGGGAAGGAGATTAAAAATATCAACAATGATACATTTTTCTAAAATTAAAGTTTTAATTAAGCTCTAATGTGTGTGTGGGCCCCATTTAATGTGATATTTTGGACTTTTGTTTGTTTTTTTTTTCATTTTTTTTCATATATATATATAATGTAAAATAAAATTAATAAAAAATCCAATGGTGATTGAAATAGATTTGATTGCGGGCCTACTATGACTGATGCGTCAATTCGACATTGATTTCGGATAAGTCGTATAGAATCTAGGGTGGTATGGCACAAAGGTTTTTAAAATCGCATCGGACCGGTTTGAACGGTTCAACGTCGACTGGTCGAGATTCTAGTCCGGACACATTTACTAGATCGTTCAAATGAAAAAACCGACTTATTTTGAGAGAATCAGAAAAATCGAACCGATCGACCCGATGACGATTCACCGGGTCAATAAAATCATTTTTTTATTCTTTCTTTCTTTCTTATTTTTTTTATATATATATATATATATATATAAAAATTTAATTGGAAACTCTCTTTCAAGGGTCTCATCTTGGAAGGAATCCCATTGAGAGCTTGAAATTATTGTGAAAGCCTCTACCTATTTATAAGAAAAAAATTCTTCCAACAAAAACTCAAGAAATCTATGTTGAATTCATCAATAAATTTATTGAAGGAAAACTTAAAATTTTGATATCCCTTCAAAATTTTTGTTCTCTCTCAATTAAATTATTTGAATCAAAATCATATAGAGGAATATTGAATATTTGATTTCTTTTTCCAAAATTAAAATTAATAATATTTTAAAATATATTTTTATATTTTGTTAGTAAAAAGTATTAAGGAGAAAATATTTACGATTATTTAATTTCTTAATTTATAATTTTATTACTTATATTTTATTTTAAATATAATTTTAATATATTTTAATAACGTCATGGTTCGATTCCGGTTTAAACCCGGCGGTTGAACCGGTGACCGTTTGCCCAATCTTTTTTTTCGGTTCATCTACCGGTCCGTCGATTTTTAAAACATTGGTATGGATAAACTAAATAAGTATTTATCTTTTATTTTTTAAGATTACATCAATCAACATCTTCTGCTTTATTTTTTTATATATCTTTTTAATAAAAGTTTAAAAAATAACTTTTTTAGATTTGGAATTATTTCAAACCACCTCTTAATCTCTTTTATAATTATATAACTTGTTTATACATTAATTGTGATAATATATAAATCATTGAATATGTATTTTGTGAGGAATAATGGGTATGCATGTTTTTGCTAATAATTTAAACTTTGATAGGAAAGGAGGGACATAATTATATCCATCCAAACGCAGCTAAACATTTTCTTATCAAAATCATTTTAGGACCACTAATTAGTGGTGGCTCTAATGATGTGGCAGTGGGTCCCACCCACTGCCACATGTGTTTTGTGGCCTTGTTTTTTTTTTCTATGTTTTTTTCTCTTCAATTGCCCAGCGTCTTATTTAGGGATAATCAACTAGTGGTGGGGTTAGTGATGATAAATTAGTAAGTCTATAGCATTGCTTTCTTATTATCTTATATATCACAAATATTCACACAAGGTGATTAAAGTTAAGAAAGAATTAGGGACGTGATTCATTATTTATTTTATTTAGTATCATATTTTTAGAAGTTTATATTGTGTGAATAGATTCATCATGTTAAGTTATGGAAAATTGTGCTTTCGCCTTAGAATTTGCGCCCCGGACAAAACTAGGAACCGCAAAAGTGACATACAAAGTTTTAGGCAATTTATATTTTTTTCTATTTTTGTGCACGGTCTT